GATTTCAAGCTCAGCACGTGTGTGTGTATGTATATGCTCATATATGACTGCCTAATCCTGAGCATATTAAATCCTTTATGCTTAGTATTAAGAAAATGCCAACTTCTTCTACACACACACACACAAACAAACAAACATATTTGAGAGTTTATATTGTGTGTCTTCACAATGCCGTTATGTCTCCTTTGTGTCAATCCTTTGTCCTATTGCACTCAAACTTGACGTTCCTCATCGCTGCCTTGTAATTGCACGTTGTTTTTGTTGTTATTCAAATTTCAATCATTCACTATATCCTTGTTTGTTGCATTGTCACGACTAGAACTCCTTCAAGATTTCGCCTCACTGCATTATTATGGTTTTTACATGCATATAGGCACACAAAACCACACACACATACACATATGGCACATACATTCACTTCATATGGTGATTAAAATTTAAAGTGAATTTGCTTTTGTATTTTCCAATTTTTTAGTTTTATTCTTTGTTCTTCATTATTCCTCGGCTGATATTATATTTTGCTTTGTTTTGCATGGCATATCATGCGGAAGTAATCTGGCGGTATGTTATGTATGAAGGCGTAACAAAAAATATGAAACATCTGAGATTTCTAGGGTGGATAAGAAAACGTATTGAGGGAACACGTTGTAATATTTGTAAGAGCGAAGTATATGAGAAAAGTGAAGAAACTAGTTAATTGAAAGTAATGCGGAAGCATATTTTTGATTTGGTTGTAGATTTGACGAGCTTTGCAAGGAATATATTTTTCTATACAAAAGCTTACAAGCAGCTTTCGCTTAAGAGGTGTTAAGGCAGGTGTAATGAAGAAGTGGGAGATCCATACCAACACAGATCGTAAGAAAGTTTACTCTCTCTCACATCTTCCTCCAACTCTTGATCTAGTATCTGCTGAACATTTTGCAGTAACTACGTTATGTCAGCGATTTTTTAACGAAGCTTTATTAGAGCTTTCAGTACCACCTCGCATTCACTAAAATAAATATGGTATAGGAACTTTATTCTTAGCAAGAATAGATGACTAAAGAGCAGACTAACTAAATACTCTCAGGAGAAAAAGCAGGAATCACAGCCTATGTACCATAGATCTGAACAAAAGCGACTTTAGGTTTAGAAAATCAGAAGTGGTACTTTTACCTAGTACTACATATTATACTATATGGAGTGAAATCAGCCGAACGTTTCAAATTCTTGAATATTAGTTACATGCGAGCTAAGGCAAGTTTTCACCCGATTTTATCCACTTTAGGCAGAAAGATACATTATTTGACTATATTCATTAGTGCTTGATTTGTGTTATTTATTTAACGATTCTTGGGACACCATGGATATATTTAATTGTGTTACTGTCATCACCACTCTTCACGATTGAATCAAGCTCTTGACGCAGTCTTGAAAATAAAACCTGAGTTTTCGTCTGTTGGTCTGTATTTGATAATGGAAAGTGCATCGGCTGCTGAGCGGGTGGTAATGTGAAGAGGACGTGTACGTCCAGGTGTAGGACGACCCAGTCTACGTAACTTGAGTTCAGTGGCCTCATCCTTGAGACTGGGAGGCAAAGCTGTGACTAACTTTGTTCTGTCATCCTCTAAACGGTCCTTTCCAGCAGCTTTATCAGACTCAGGAATATTCAGGGCAATCACGTTGGTTTCACGGCGTTTTCGTTCCTACAGTTTAGTTGTCTTCAACTGATGTAAGTTTGTCATCCAGGGCAGGACATTGATTTGATAGCGAGACGTTTTGTTCTGACAGTTTGCTTACCTCTTTTCTTAAGTCCTTGATTTCACTTACAACTGATTTTTTTAGGTCCCTGAACGCACGTTCATAATTTGTTGTAAAACGTTCAAAGTGTCTCTTGAGTAAGGTTTCAATATCCTTTGACGGTGGCGGATCATCTGATGCCTCCTCATCGGAATCCAATACATCACATGTCTTAACACTAATGTCACTTACACATGAGTCACAGTTCCAAACTGTTTCTTTTTTCTTAATGCTGTTGGCGATGGATTTAAACTCATCGGATGAAAGGTTGGTGCACTTTGAGTGAAACCAACGTCGACAAGCCGCACATTAAATACTTGGCTGCATTTTATCCCGGATTATGTCTGAGCAATAACCACAAATCTGTTGTGTTGTATTTACTTTTTTATGTGGCATTTTGTAAGTACACGATACAGGAAAAAAGAAAAGTTCCAAATAATTCCGGAGTAATTTTTTATTTTCGTGTATTATCAATGCATTCATTCACTCTATGATGTCTAATTCACAATCAATGTTAATGTTTGTTATGCTTTTTATTATTACACCTCACAATATTACGTCGCACACACCTTTCTTTGTTGTACGAAATTCAATTATGGTTCAATATCAAAATTTAATCGAACTTTTCTTTGTACATCCTTTATATTTTCTTATAAGAATTATTATTTCGTTTTAAGGAAACTTATATGAGGCATAATTTAATATTCTTTCACTTTTATATATACGATTGATGTAATATTTTCAGATATTACGGAGCACTTTTCACTATGCACACTGCACATGTATACAGCTACCTAACCTATATAACCTACCTCGCCGGCCTGATCAATACGATTTTAGCTATTTTCACACTATCGGTAGGGATTCTTAAACAATCTGTCTGAAACGAATTTGGTTATTGTAGCTTAAGTGGTTTAGGAGATACTTATATACATTAAACTTATTAGAGAGCTGGGCCACACCCGCTTTTTCAAAATCTTTTGCACACAAATTAAATTACAGTTTTATATCTTAATTTACTGCTCAGTTATGAAAATACCACACTCGATTATTTTCAGGCGATACAAACAGCCGTTAGGTGAACAAAAAATTACACTCTGTAGCAATATCTTGCAAGAGTATAAAACAGAAATGAAATTTTTTTAGAAAACTGGGTCGGCACATGTACCCACTCCCTTTAAATGTTTTATACGACTTAAAATTTTTTTAGTAATTTAATTGTTTATTGATCTTCAATAAAAGCATTTTTTATTATATCATAGAGTTGCCAAGTTATATGAAATAAAAGTTATTTATAAATAAAGTTAATGTTGGGAGTTTATTAGAAAACGGAAAAAAATAATAAAAAAATATTGTTAATTTTTATTTTTTTAGTACTTAATTACTTATATTATATAATAATTCTTCACTTCACGTGTACGGCAAAACATTTGCCAGCGCCCAATAACTAGATAGTCGCCTTAATAGAAGCGGCATTAGTCTGCCAGCAAGTAGTTAGTTCACTTCTAAGTTCGGCACGCGCCGTTAGCAACATATGGCGCTAATTGTACTCGCACAGTTTGGCTTTAGCAATTTTATCCCCATTACATTTATGTTATGTTATGCCTCCACTCCGATGTATGTTATGGTGACCTTCCTTGCGATGGACTTGCAGAGAATAAAAATTTAATTATCATAAACGATTAACGACAAAACGCTAACTAAATTGGTCCAGCTAATCAGAGTGAACGAAACAAAGATGAACATGATAGTGTAGTCCCAGTGGAGCATGTCGCACCTTGGCATATGTTGAACTTGGCGTGTTGGCGTGTGGACTTTCGTACAGCGGAAGTTGGTGGCAGCAAACTTGTTGGAACGATTTACTAAGGCGAACCGATTTCCGATTTCACGAATTTGTAAACTTAGAGAAATTAGTATTAGTTAAACAAGTCAACAAATTGCTAAAAATTCACTTAAATTTTTAAGAAATAAGGAAAAGGAAGTGAATTTATAACGGAATTAGCAAAGAAATCATAAACACAGGGTGTTTCAGATGATATATATCCATTTCTCTAAATAAACATTTAAGGATTTTCTATTTTTATAACAACAAATTATTCTAAAGATGTAAAAAAATATTAAATCATAGAAAATTGCTTAATAACATTTTTAAAATTTAATATATTTTATTAATCTCATATGTTATTAACAAGTACGCATATTTTGCTGTTGTACAACACTACCGTCTCTGTTTGATATGAGCTCACAGCTGTCAAACAAACCAATGATTCATAACATAGAATTAAAAAACTACAATATTATCAATACTGCGAAATTAAACAAATTTGGCGTAAAATATTCATAAATACCACTTAAACTACAGCAAAAACACTTTTAATTAACTAAGTTTACTTGTGCAGTTTTTCATTTGTATAAAGGCCATCAAACTGGGTAACGAAATGTCAACTTCATCCATGGAAAGTAAGTAATAGTAACCCATAATACCAAGAATTTATCTGTGTTACTGTAATTTATACCTTTTAACTATTGCAGAACACCTCTTCAATTTAAAATTTGCTGTTAAGGAGTTGGAGCGTAATTCGAAAAAATGTGAAAAAGAGGAGAAGCTTGAAAAGGTGAAAGCAAAGAAAGCCATACAGAAGGGTAACATGGATGTAGCCCGTATACATGCGGAAAATGCAATAAGACAAAAAAATCAAGCAGTCAATTATTTACGTATGAGTGCACGTGTAGATGCAGTTGCAAGCCGTGTGCAATCAGCACTAACTACACGTAAGGTAACAAGTTCAATGGCTGGCGTTGTTAAGGCAATGGATGCCGCCATGAAAGGTATGAATTTGGAGAAAATCTCGTCATTGATGGAGAAATTCGAATCACAATTTGAAGACTTGGATGTACAAAGTTCGGTTATGGAGAATACCATGTCGGACACAACTACAACTTCAGTACCTCAAGGAGATGTTGATAACCTACTACAACAGGTGGCAGATGAGGCTGGGTAAGAAGCTTATATATTAAATAACGCGAAATAATACTGTTATTTATCATATTTATATTGTGCAGCTTGGAGTTAAATATGGAATTGCCCAGTGGTGTACAGAGCTCTACTATTGGTGCATCAACACAAGTTTCACAGGAACAAGATGAGTTGACTCAACGATTGGCGCGTTTAAGACAAGCCGAATAGATAATCTGCATTTAAAGTCAATAAATCAGTATGATTTTGCGATTTTGATAGTGTTTGGTATTATTATATGTTAATAAATACGAATCTTTTTATTTCATTTAAAATTCTAACTGATTATCACCAGTTCTAAATGGAGCTCGTTTCACTGTTATGTTCGGTTGACAATGAATATTTGCATATTACATATGTACGCTTGGGAAAATCACATTAAAATAATCAAATACATAAATCTAGATTCAAATATCTTGTTTGTATTGTACAAATTGTTGTTGCAGTAATAATTGTTTCTCCTGATGCTCGCTGAAATGTGGTAAGGGCTGTATACTTCCCTCAACATTGTTTCGTTGTGGAGCAATAGTCTTCTTCATGCGTTGTTTTCGTACCTTCTTGACTTTTCCCTCAGTTGGTTCTTCGGTAGGGTTTTTTGGCTTTGGCTTAGGCCCTCGTTTTTGTTCGATTTTACGTTTTGGATGTGGTGCCACCATGGGTAATTGTCGCCAAATATCATTATGCTTATCAAGACGACGCTTCAATAACTCCACATCGCGGGTACGTCTACGCAAAAGTTTTTTAACTGTGTTTATGCTTTGAAATATAAATTTTGGGTTTATTAATTAATGATAAAAAAACACAATATTTTAATTAGTACCGTAGCACACAACGCTCATTCTCTATTTGTAGTTCCTGGCATCGCTCATAGATTTTCTCAGCAAGTATTTTATACTTTTGTACATTCTCATCAAGTAGCATAATTAATTATTAGTTTATATCGTAGCTTGCATGCCAATAATTTAATTGAAATTACTATTTATTTTCCATTTACGGATCTCACGTTAAATCAGTAACACAATAATATATTCTATCATTCTTGCAATAAATGTAAACAATTGAATACTTCTTCTTTATCTTGCTTTTGCTTCATATTCATTCACAATGATAAAGTTTTTGTTATGGGCATGTTTTAAATGTTCAATTATCATACACATATTATTTATTAATATAAATACTAAATATTAATTGGATATATAAAATTATTTTATTAATATATTTAAAACATACTAATACAAACTAAAACAAACTATTCTTGTTCGCTATTCATATATAAATCATGCGATAATTTTACTTCATCAAAAAGTGTTAATCGATATATTTTAGTGTTCTGACAGGTGATTTTATGACTGTTCATTGTTTTGATTAACTGATGAAGACATAAAAAGCCGACATTGTCAACAAAAAAATTTTAGGATACGTTTTACTGCTGCATAGTACAAGGCGTTATGGCCTCATCTTCAGACTCGACACTAGCTGCAGCGAACATTGATGCAAAAAACGAAAAAAACTTAAATCTCACAGTCTCGGGGAAAATGTCTGCCAACAACACTAAAGTGACTATAGCAACTATACAAAAGGCCTACCACGACATCCTCAAAGATCCCACTAGTCTGGATGAGGCTGCACACTATTTATATCAGTCGCTGCTGGACGATGCTGTTGTGGGTGTTTTTTTGGAAATACATCATTTGCATAAGACTGGTAATTTAGAAGCACTAGACGGTGTACCCGAAGAAGGTACTGACGCTTCCTATCGCATTGTTGATATGCCCAACTATGATATTTTTGGCATTTCATCAGTTAAAAAACTAATGGATTGCACTTGTCCTAACTGTGATAGACCCGTGTCGGCGTCACGTTTTGCACCACATCTGGAAAAGTGCATGGGTATGGGACGTAATTCGTCACGTATTGCAAGCCGTCGTTTAGCTACCAAAGAAGGCACTAGCGCAAGTTCTTCATCATCTTCATCGTATCTGCAAACAACGGTCGGCACAGATGATGAGGATGATATTGACTGGTCATCGGAGAAACGACGAAAGAAGACTAATCAAGGCAATCGTAATAACGGATCTAAAAAGAATAATGGCAAATCATTTTAGTGACTGTGTGAATAATATGCAAACGTATACAAATTAACAATTAATTTCAACTTCATTCTAAGTGCAGAAAATTATATTTACAATTATATAGCTGTACGTGCTATATGCCGTAAATCTTATTTTCGAATATTGATAGTGGTTATGAATGCATGTCTGCATGTGCATATACAATATCAAGTCTGTGCTAAAAGATTCCATTTATAGTGTAAAATACATGTTTTTTTCAACAAATACTTTGTATACATTCTACTAAATTATTCAAATTATTTAATAAAATATGAGTAACGGAACTGCCGAATAACAAAATAAATATGTGTTTTTAAAGATACATATGTATAATTCTATATGCATATTTATATATGTACATACATATGTGTAAAAAATCCGTTGGCGTTCAGAATTTACTTCACTGAGATATTCAAATCCTAGCTTTAATAGAAACAAAAATTGTTGGAAGAAAAGATTTTTTATTGTATAAAGCAAAAGCTTACAATAATTTTATAGTGGCATATTAATATGTATACATATATAAATTTAATAAACCTTTTAACCGCATATTCCTATTAGATCAAGTGCGGGGTATCGGATAGTATCGGAGTCAAATTAATAATGATTATCGTTAATTACTATCTTGATACCAAAAAAATAAACAAAGCAGCTCACGACACTCATTTGTTCTTGGTCAGAAAAGCTTTCTGGCTTTTAATTTTTGTCAATTGCATTTCAACTTCTTTGATGTACTTCTCCGGCAAACAGGCGTCGCGCATTGCTGCCAATTTCGCATCAATTACGGCGCGTATATTGCGATCACGTTGGCGCTCGCCCTCACGCCAGTCTAAGGCCTGTGCACGATCAAGTTCCAAGAGACGACGTCGCTCCAGCTCCTTATCGTTCATTTGCTTTATAATGGCTTGACGATAGCATTCATTCTGGCGTTCCCGCTGCACTTCCTGCTGCTTCTGTTTCTCTTCATCGACCTTGACTTGGGCCATTAGATTGTCGAAGTCCTGTTCGGCGCGTGCAATTTGCAAGGCTTGTCGCTGTTTGGTTTGACGCAATTGACTTTCGCGTGCTTCGGCCAAATCTTTCTCGATTTGTTTCTTACGCAATGCCGCTTCCTTCTCTTTGCGTCGGTATTCACGTTCGATACGCTCCTGCTCACGCATATAGCTCAACTCTTCGCTAGCCGATTTCGCCTCCAACACTTTTTGTGCTAGTATGAATATGCGTTGCCGTTTACTTTCGGCCGCCTCTTGTGCCAATTTCTTCTCCATTGCCAATTCGCGCTCTTTCTTTTGTTTTTCACGCATATATGCGGCAGCGCGCATATCAGCTTCACGTTCCTGCTCACAAAGCATCCTTTTGAAAAGCGCCGCCATTTCGGCAATACGATTTAACTCTTCGCGGAATTTCAATTTACGCTCTCGTTGCAATTGCGCCTGCCGCTCATCCTCGGCGCGTATCAATTCATTGGCTTTGCGTATACGTTTGGCTTCCTGCTCCAAGCGCTCAGCTTCCAGAAAGCGCAACGTTTCGCGTTCACTCAATTGATTACGTATCTCACAAGCGTATTTCAGTTTCTCCTCTTTCTTCTTCTCCTCGTCGGCATCCTCTTTTTTGAGTGCGCTCGTGGCACGTTCCAATACCATTCGATCCATACGCATCTCTTCATTGCGTAGCTCACGTTGAAAATCCTCCTTCTCCTGTATTTGCGCATCGCGCACTGCCTGACATTTGGCATTCAATATGATGCGATTGACCCGCCGAACTTCTTCTTCCTGTTCGTGTTTGGCCAAAAATGCACGCTCCAAGACCTTCACTTTTTCACCTGCACCAAAGAGATCTTCTTTTACAGCATTTTCCTCCAAAGCTTTCTGTCGCGCATCGTCAATCTTTTTGAAGCGCGTGCGCAACTCTTCGGTCTCTTTTTCCATGCGTTTCCGTTCCTCCTCTTGTCGCTTTAAAACTTCTAGACGATCTTCTAGTGTTACCACCTTGGATGCATTCTTCAACCGGTCCAACTCCTTTTGTGTTAGCGTTGTCTGATTTTTAGTTCTGCCCGATTTCGGTCCCACCGGTCGTTTATTCAACGTTTGCGGCGTGTAGCCCATTACTTTCAGAAATTCGGTGCATTCTTTGGCCGCTTTCTTATTGTTTTGTGCGGTAATGGCTGCTTTCAAGGACGCATTCAGCTCTGCGGTGGTGCCAGCTACTAAATTTGTGCTGCTCCCGTGCGAACGATGTGTGGTCGATGTTTTGGTTCGCCTTTTCCCAGCGTTTTCCAGCTGGTCTCTTACAAGCCGTATATTCGAGGCTGTAAAGCACGGCATGGTCCCAGGTATTTAAATATTAGCACTTCTATATGTATATTGACTATTTTACTAGAATTAAATGTAGTTTAATTCTGGTTAAATATTAAAAAATAAATTTCAAATTTTTCCAAAGAAAAATTTTGAAAGTTGTTTGAGTGAAAGTTCGATTTGTTTTAAAATACAACAAACAACTTGGAGTCTCAAATGTCTAGTAGTGTTTAGTAACGGTTATTTTAATAAACAGGATGTTGTCATAGAGATGTGCGCGTAGCTCGGGTCAACCCGTAATCGATTCAATAGTTTCAAACTGCAAGGCAAAAGCATGGGTAAAGGTGTTTTAAGTAAGGTATAAGATATACATATGTGTATTTGCCCCTTCAAATTTCAAATGTCGATCTCACAGAGGTAAAGATACGTAATCTACTTGCAAATAAAAAACAAAAACCCATTTTTGTGAATTTTTTTTAAATATGTAATTTATTTAATGTTTTTAGTTTAATCCAGCGATTCATTTTGAAACATTTTGAATTTCTCTGAGACCGTAGTCGACATCTAAGAGGATCCCAAAAAAAATGGCTACAGAGTATAATAGTTTTGCTTGTATCAACTAAAATTAATCGACTTAGATGTAGGATTACACATATATAAATGATAAATGATCAGGATGACGAGATGAGTTGAATTCCCAGAGACTGTCTGCCTGTTAGTCCGTCTATCTGTGCAAGCGATAACTTGAATAAAAATTAAGATAATGAAACCTTGTGTTCTTGGTAAAAAAGTGAAGACAAGTTCGTAGATGAGCGTAATCGCAATACTACGCCATTAATCGAAAACCAAAAAAATGCCATAACTAAGCACTAAAATAAAATATAAACCTGTTATTTGGTACAGAGGATTGCAGTAGCAAGGGGCACCTGCGGACTATATATTTTGAAAAAAGGTTTAATGTCCATATCTCATAAACTATTAAGCTACAATGACTAAAATCGCTTAAGGCAAATTCTGTAAAAACTCCTACCGCTCCCTCTCTCTTCCCATATAACGGGTTTGTTAAAAACTACCTAAAGCGCGATAAATATATAACCAAATGCACCAAAGACATTAAATTTTACACCGAGAATGATACAAGAGGGCTTTATAGGAGCGGGGGTCAATTGAATTGAGATGTAATTACATAGCTCCGGACCTACTCGACCAATTTCAACCAAATTCGGTACACAACATAGTCCTAACGATCTTATGTCTTATGTCGGACTACAACCACGCCTACTTCCCATATAGCACAATTTTAAATTCCATATAATTCTATTACTTACCAGTACAGAAATCAAGCACCAATAACTATGTTCAGTTAAAACTTTGCACAAATAGTTGCCTTTGAGGTATGCCATCTCGAGTCAATTATCAAAATCGGACCATAACTGTTCAAGTCCGTACATACCGAATATGTGGACCACAGAGCCTATGGCTCACTTTTTGCCGAAAACTTCGGTCAATCTGTGAGATATGTTATTGAAATTCGGTAAACATGTTTTTTTGATAATACCATGCTCTTATGCCAAAAATGGCATTAAATCGGGTCAATACTTCCCTTAGTCCCCGTATACATAATCTGCCAATATTAACTCACATAATAAAAATGAGAGAGTGTATTTTCCTAATAACAATGTATCTTTGTGACTAAAATCGATGAAATCTGGTGAAAACTTGCTTAAGCCCCCATATAACTGAGTATGATTTTACTCCTTATATATATTTTATTTTTATAAAATTGCTTGAAAATATGTTCTCAAGTATATCTAAGCAATGTCAAAAGTTAATGCAATCTGCTCTTCCATTTCTCTGCCCACAATATATCCTATATATCCGCTCAATATAAGTGCGAACAAAGTTTTTAATAGTAATCGAAGGACTAGTCAAAATTTTAATTTTTAACAAAATAACGACTTCCCAAAAAAGTCGTTTTTGTTAAAAAATTTACACTTCAAACTGTATTATCAAATTTCTTATACCTTCCATTATCTGACGGTCCAACCGTTTCGGAGAAATTTTCGTCACCCACTATGAAAACAGAAATTACACTTCCTAACCTCATAGTGGTGTTCAAAAGTGTGATTTTTTGTTAAAAGCAATCAGGGCCGGACCGAGATAATTTATTACCCTAGGCAAATGCCAAATTCTTCTGAGCCTATTTCGCCTTAACAACAAAATATATAACTTTAACTTTATACTGAAAATTAGTAAGGCGATTTTATTTAAAAAAAAAACACTCATATTACGGTTTTCAACTCCATTCACTTGAATTGAACTTGTACGTGTACTAGAATATTAGATTACATTACTGTCATCGGGTTAAAAATTTCGAAATCGTTTTGAATATATTAACTATATATTTAGTGTTAAATACCAGAGAACTCATAAGCCAAAATAGTTGCGCACATTTTCTTTTTGGTTGAAATATCAACCGAGGCTAAATATAGTAGTATCGGTAAAATTTCGTCAGGCAATGTCAAACTGTCGACTTAATTTTAATATGACAAATATTTAGTTTTATGAAATATTTGAGAGCTTTTATCCATCGGTCTTTCCCAATCGATCTGTAAGCGTCGACCTTACTCAGCAAACATAAGGATACATAAAGAAATTCGTTGCATTATTTAAGAAATTATAGAAAAACACATACAAGTATTCTACGGAAAAGCAGGTTGTGGCAACGTCTGTATTTCGGAGCATAAGGAAACTTCGATGGTATATGGCTCACGATCCAAATGTAACAATAAATATTGAACGTGTAATAGGCGTCTATGAGTCAGAGATTTCAAGTATTTTAGAACACTTGCAACATGTTCGAGACGAGTATATTATGAAAATAAATAAACTGATTATCGGTTATTACGGAACAGATTATCGGTTATGGAAGTTTTGATATTTTGAAAAATTAATCAAAAGGGAATTTCGAGTGTTAATTAAAAATTGCTTTTGCAAAAAGAATGCAATATTAGCCCCTTAAAAGGATAAAGGCAGCGAAAGCAGCAGATTATAAACAAAAATATAAAATTAAAAAAAAAAAAATCCATAAAATTATTTTAAATACCTGTAAAATGAAGTTAATTGAGGTAGCTGACACTCTAAAGATATCAAATAATGGTATTGGATATAACGTTCATAAAGATTCGGTGGTTACCGTACTATGTAGCTCACAATTAAGGAAACTCACGTTGTCACAATGTATACTAGAATGTGGTCTCAGTGGCTGTCTCATTTTTGTTGTCCTCAAATCGCAAAAGAATGTTGGCTGGAAAAAAATGAACGAGAAAATCAGCGAGATCGGGGCCTATTTTGAAGTATAAATGTCTCTTACTATTGAGTCTATAACTATATTAAAAGCAGTTTGCAAAAAGATGGCGTAATTTGATTGTTATTCCATTGTAAATATATTCTAACATGCGTTAATGAGCTACTGTTCTTCTGCGTCTTCTTCAGTATATGCTACTCACTTGAAGAGTAAATAGCAGTACATTTTCAGTAAAATTGAAGTCCTTCATTACTTTAATATGAAGAAAGCTTCAGCCAAAAGTCATAGTATTTTATATACTCTAGTTAAGTGTGGTGGTTTCAGCTTGGAATACGACGGTACTGGTAAGATCAGAAGGGCGTGATATATTATCAGATTCAAAACGCGAGTAAAACCATTAATGGGGAACGCTACCGACAATAACTCATCAAATGAAAATGAGCGAAAATCGCCCGGAATCGTAATGCTAGGCCTCATGTTGCAAGACAGGTTAAAAAATATTGAGAAACCAGCGGCTGGGAAATTAAGCCTCATCTGCCTTATAGCCCAGACCTTGACACTTTTGATTACCATTTTTTTCGATGCCCTCACCATAATATATTTCACCTCAGAAATGAGTATCAAAATTTGGCGTCATTCATTCTTGGCCGCCAAGCCGGCGCAGTTTTTTTAGAATGGAATTCACTAATTGCCAGAAAGTTGGGAAAGTGTTATAGCTACTTAGGCAAACTGAAGGTCTTAAAAATCGCTAGCTGGAAACCGGTTTTAAACCCATAGTTTCGTAGGCAAAGTGGTTTAGAATGATCTGTATACCATTTTCTGCATATGCGATTTTTCCCTTTTTTAAGCTTCCTGTAAATCGAATCTCTCTATTATACATGTTTTTGTTAAATGAATCTTCAAATACAGACACAATAGAAAATGGTGATAAGAAGTTAAAAGTTTCTTTTAATCGGTATAATGCCCTACATAAAAATCACCGAATTTCCTAAAAGATATTTGTTTTTTTTTTTCAAAACGCTATGGGCTTTGTGGTCTACCTGTTAGAAATACGACATTTGAAGCGGACATGTGACTTAATGATACCATACTAAATCCGGAAAAAATATGCGAGTGTGTGTCTAGAGATTGATTGATTTAAGCGAGTATTCTTTTGCATTTTTTGAAACGGGAGAATGGCGCTACTCTTTCTTTTTCACGTTTCATAGGTCAGTAAACTTAAGAAATTCAGTATTTTGTTCGAAGCTAAACAATGAAGCTTAGGATTATCGACATTATGCATCAATTAATTGAAATCTGTTAATTTAAGCATTATTTCGGCTTTATGTTATCTCTCTTATCAATTACACAGCGCAGCATATATGGTATGTAGCAACTTGATATTTCCCGAAACCGAAGCGAAAAGCAATACCTTGCAAATAATTCTCACTGAGCTACCAATCTATTAAACGCTCACCGGTTTTACTCAAAACTTGTAGCGGTTAGAGTTTCAGCCGTTTTCTCCGCTTCCGATTAAGTTCATTACTGTTGTTAATCGCATTTTATTCAGAAAGAATATCTCGCAATCAGTTTGCAAACAACCTTTGCGTGAACGTGTACATTAATTTTTACTGCCAGTTCGCCGTGTTTTATTTAATAATTATTTTTATTGTGTTTCGTTTCATTCCAAGTAAATGAAGATGCGCTTATCGCTATGGTACATATCCTTCGTATTTCTGTGCTTTTATGGTGCTCGGAATGTGTTTGCTTACAAAATACCACCAGTTCAACTGGAAGTGAGAGGAGAAGGATTTCGTGTTTCGATACCGCGTGAGTGATAACAAATTTGGATATTATACATACTTATATACTATATACGCTATACATATAAACACTAGTTAGTTGGTTTTGGTTTTGTTTTCGTTTAAACGGGGGACACCCTTTAGGTGCTGGTGCTGCTTGTGGCTAACAATAAAGCTTCATATAAACATTAAAAGCTGAAAGCGTTAGTAATTGCTATGCATAATACATATATTATATACATATATACATACATAAGCTATATATCTACGTATATATATATTTATATATATATATATATAAATATGCTGCTAAGCTTGTTATAAACATACTTTATTTTTATTTCATTGGTTCTGTTCAATCATTATCATTTCATCCGAAATCAAATTTGAGGTGATAACCTTTGGCAAATATGCAACTGGAGTCTACGTACATATTTATATCTGTAACTTTGGTAATGCAAATATTTGCTTAAGTGTTCCGAAGCTATTTTATGTTTATTGTTGGAATGAAGGATTACACAAATTATTTTCAGCAATATACATAAGTATGTATTCAAGCATAATTACACGCCTTTATCATTTTTGTCGCAATTTTTTAAATTTCTTCAGTCGATTTTAGCGAAATTACTTTTTTTACTTCCACCAAAAAATCTTTGCACAATTCTCAACTATAATTTAAGGTAATTTCAAAGGCTGTAACTTAATGGGTTATATCCACTTGCTAGTTAGAAAAACGCGTTTTTTATAAAGTTTCTTCAAGAAAAAAAATTATTATTACTATCCATAGATGAATACAGCTAATGATCGAAAGACTAGTCAAAATATTAATTTGTGACCAAATGGCGTTTTCCCAAAAAATCATTTTTTATGAAAAAGCTTCAAAAATTGAAATTATTGTCAAAATCTAATTCCTTTGGTCATTACCTGACTAATATATTAGACCAAGGTAGATAATTTTTGTAAGCAAAAAAAGTTATAGCATAATAAAAGCCATTGGAAACGCAAGATAATATAATATAACAAAAGTGAAAAGAAAAGTAATTTACGAGCGATCTGTGGTTGGGGCAAAGAAGGGGAGGGGCGTGGTTGAAATTTTAAGAGTCAAAAACGGTTTATCTCGATTTCCAGCAACACTAAGAGTCCTATAGAAAAAAACTAAGTTGTAGGTAATGAAAAGATCTAAAACTTTTATATCAACACCTTTTCAACATAGCCTCAAAATTTCTGTGAAAAAATCTAATGACCAAGTTTTTGGGTTTTTTATTTTTATCTTGTACAATTTTTTTTGTTTACACAAAATCTGGCGACCTCACTAAACGATTCAAGGTTGCTTTTTTATTTCGACCGTAAATTACTTTTATCCTCTTGCAACATGTGGCTACAGAGTTTTGTTCACCTAACGGTTGTTTGTATTACCTAAAACTAATCGAGTTAGATATAGGGTTATGTATATATAAATGATCAGGATGAAGAGACGAGTTGAAATCTGGGTGACTGTTTGTCCGTCCGTCCGTCCGTTCAAGCTGTAACTTGAGTAAAAATTAAGATATTTTTATGAAACTTGGTACACATGTTTCTTGGTACCGTAAGACAGTTGGTATTGCAGACGTGCATAATCGCACCACTGCCACGCCCACAAAACGCCATTAATCAAAAGCAAATAAATAGCCATAACTAAGCTACACAATAATATACAAAACTGTTATTTGGTACACAGGATCACATTAGGGAGGGGCACCTGCAGTTTAAATTTTTTTAAAAGTGGGGGTGGTATCGCCCCATAATAGGATTAATGTACATATTGTACATATCTCCTAAACCGCTAAAGCTATAATAACAAAATTCACCGAGAACAAATATTTTTAGCACTTCTATCGACAGTGTGAAAATGGATTAAATCAGGTGACAAGCTCGCCCACTCCCCATATAACGGTACTGTTAAAAACTACTACAAGCGCGATAAATCAAGCGCTACATACGCCAGAGTACGGTATGGGATTTTATGAGATGATTTTATAGGAAGCGTGTTCAAAATTAGACATTATTATGATATTTCTATGTTATAGTGCGAAAATGGGCGAAATCGGATTACAAGCTCGCCTATTTCCCATATAACACCATTTTCAATTCCATCTGATTCTTTCACTTTCCACTATGCATATTAAGCAACAATGATTGTATTGGGATAAAACTGAATAATGCGTTTAATTTATGCCACCTTGTGACCAAAAATTGTCTAAATCGAACTAGAACTGTTCAAGCCCGTAGGTACTGAATATTTGGACCCCAATGCCTATAAATAAATGAAACTCTCGATAATAGCATGTTTTTGTGTTAAAAATAGGTTAAATTGAATCAATACTTCCTTTCATATACAATTCTGCCAATACCTGACGTAATTTCCCTTGCAAGTTGTGAGAGTATAAAATTCGGTTACACCCGAACTTGGAACTTCCTTACTTGTTCTTTTCATTTTTGTTATTTAATCTTTCGTTTCCAATGGATTTCAACCTACTATAAATTTCTTGAATTGTTTACCATTATCAAAGGCTTCTGCACTAGTCTATATGTATAATATTATATTTATATAAGAAAGTCGTCTGAAAATTGCAAGCGATCACTCCAGCCGATTCGAGTTAAAAATTTACAAATACGCTGTTATTTCCGAAGCTTTATGCCGTGTCAACTTCAAATTTTCAGAGCATATTCTCAAATAGCCAAATGTGCATTCGATGTACATAATAATGAACTAACGGAAATTTTTGGCTTATATATTTTATCTGTTTTCATATGCCTGAATATTTAGTAATATTATGCATTTTGACAATGTTGGACCTCTCATGCGCGTTTTACCAAAGTCGCAAAGTAAATTCACGCGACACTCTGAAATTTAATACAAAGCCAGGTTTAGTTTAAGCTGGATCTATGTGACATAGTTATGAATACTACATCGTTCAAACGCATAACACACGAGAAAGACACGATAAACATTTGAGCGTACCAAACTCAATCTTTCAGAGAGGCCTTAAAAAAATTGTTCAAGGAAGGCATGCTTTATCGCTGTTTTAATCTCTCAAAGAGGTATTGCAATAAAATTTTCAAAAATAGATTGTACTATTACATGATGAGCAGACTATTAACCGTTCGTTCGCGTTGCATTTGGTTAAAGAGAATTGAGATTGGCATGTTCAGCAGAGAATTCAAGAATTCTATAATTTTTTATATAATTGCATGCAATTCCCTATAACTATCAGTGTCATATTTCCGGAAGAGGATAGCTCAATAGTTCAACGTAAAGAAATTCAACATAAATTCACAAGCTTTAGTAAGAATAATGTCGTACTTTTTGAAAAAAATTGTTAATTAGCCATAAAATAAGTTTAACCCTTACCTGACCTAGTAACTTTGACTGGATAATACGGTACTATCAAGTTGTTACAAGCTTTAAAAGAAAAATTGCATTGACAGAACCTAAAAGCTCATGAAAAAATTCAGAAAATACGTGAGTATTTCGCTCTTTTCAAATTTATAGAGTCTATCTAGATAATTATAGTAGAACTTGTTGAAAATCACCAAACTATATTAACTACAAAATCAGCTATTTGAGTACGAATTTTAAGACGTATATTTTTAAGTTCGACATTGAAAAGGTTTTGGTATTACCAAACATTAATTGCGTCTAAGTTAAGCTCGTCATTGTTCACCATACTCGATTATACCGCTCAGTTTTGGTATGAGTTTCGCCTAAGTGTTGATCGTATCATCTTTGTGCTACATGGAGCATACGAAGTTCTTTTCCATCTTATTTGATGATTTTAGACTCCTTCAAAGGCGATATTTGTAAAGCTAGAAAGATACGATTATTTTATGCCTGAAAACATGTATGTTTTGTTAATTGATTTACTGATTTGGAACAAACTAAACTATTTTCTTAAAAGAAGGCCATTGAGTTCTATCGAGGTTTCATGAAATGACTTATGCCACAGGAGCTTTTAATTTTATTTCAGAATTGAGGTAAATCCAATTTGGTGACTTCACCGTAAAATACTGCACTATATTTCACACTTAATCTCACTACTTTGCTAAATTCTAACAATTATTGCTTAGTAAAGTCATGACTAAATTTAACGCACGTTATGTAATACTGTAGCACCTAAAAATGGTTATGTTGACTGAGTTGTATTACTAATATCTTGCAATAGTTATTGGTAAAAATGCAAACTCACAATACTGAAACACCATTATTCAAACAGATGAGGCGGGCATCGAAAATGTGGCATTCAATATAAATCGTAATCGGCCATTCAAAGCTTTCGAACAAGGCGAGTTTTCCGGTCGCGTTAGTACGGAAACCAATAATCGATGGAACTTTGAAAGCAAACGTCCTCTACGCGAAGACGATACCATTTATATATGGACAGACGTGCAATTTAATAAGAACCGTTTTCGTAGCATGTCCTCGCCGATTATGGTAAGTGAGGCGCCGTCAGGAGTCATAGGTATCAACGAAATTGCTAATGATAAAACAACAGTTGTAACAACCGAAAATCCACCGGCTATTGATCGACGAAATGACAATTGTCAGCCAGCATTAACGATAATACGTAATCGTCACGCATGTCGTGGTGAACTTATATTTGAGGAAAATTTTAACGGTAACGAATTGAATGCATCACGCTGGCGTTACGAAGTGCGTATGCCGCTCGATATTGCCGATGCGGAATTCGTTTTATACGATACGAATGCTGATATTACAAATGGCTTGCTAACGATTGTACCGCGCATTTGGGGTAATGATAGCCCGAATGCCGACATACGTAGTGGCAATTTAAATTTAGGTGTAAGGTGAGTGTGAACACTTACAAGAGTTTACACACTACTTACATATATATTTAAAAGCTATAATCATATCAATTTTCTGCAGATGTACCGCCTATCAGAATTCTGAAGTTGAATGTAGGCGACAAGCTTTCGGACGTGTCGTGCTACCGCCCATACTCACCGCTCGTATCAACACCAAACACGCGTTCAGCTTCAAATACGGACGCGTAGAAGTACGCGCCAAGTTACCACAAGGCGATTGGCTATTCCCGCGTAGGTTTCTGACAATGGAAACTGGCTAACACAAAACTATATTATTATTGATTATTTTTTGTTTTTCATAAAGTTTTGCTGCTGGAACCGCTTGCCAATTTGTATGGACAACAAGCGTATGCCTCTGGTCAAATGCGCATAGCATTCATACGCAGCAATCTGAATCTACAATCGAATGGTGGCATTGAAATGGGCGGCCGCGTACTGCATGGTGGTGCAGTACTACGTCCCGAAGCGAGTTATCGCAATGCATTCATGGTGAATACCAGCCGTGATGCTCATTTTGGTGAAACATTTCATATTTACTCGCTAACATGGGACGATCAACGTTTGAGCTTCGAAGTGGATGGACAAAAATATGGTAGTATTGATGGCGGATTCGCTCAACACGAAATGGGTCATAATTATGTATGGGCAAATGGAAATCATATGGCGCCATTAGATCAAGAGGTTTGCTTTTAATTGATTTATTGCTAAGTAAAACTAAAAGTTCAAGTAAAGTAAAGACAGAAGTAGAGAGCAAATGGAAATAGTGCAAAAGTTATAAAATTAGGGAATAGTCTGAGAAACTGACAACCCATTCACTGTTTTAGGTATGGAATAATATTAAGTGCTTTCAAAATATGCTCCCTTTATGTTAATATGTTATCTCATTTACTTGTTATAGACCTCCGCGGAGTAAACCTTCAGTTATTTTAGCATTTTTTACTTTTCGATTCCGAAACGGTTTACCCGAATCGGAAGCTGAGCTTCGATAGTACCTTTCTCTCAGATAGTCTGAGTGGCACTTGTTGTACCCTGAACTGGGTATATTAAGTTTGCACGAAGTTTGCAAGATTTATAAGAAAACTTTGGAGATTATATAAAATACATATATATGGTATATAAATGATCAGCCTGAAGAGCCGAGTCGATTTAGCCATGTCCGTCTGTCTATCTGTATATATACGAATTTGTCGGAATCGCCGTTATGGGACCACTATAGCATATAGCTGCTTGGTAAGTTTTTTCATTTGACGGTATATCTTCAAGAAATTTGGTGGGGATTATTGGCAATGGTGCAATCTCCGATGAAATGATTCAGATCGGATCACTATAGCATATAAGTAAGCCGTACAAACTGAGCGATTGAAATCAAGCCTTTATCAAGATTCAAATCAAGCCTTTATAAGGAATCTTTTATATTCGTGAAGGGTATTATAGTTTCGGTGAAACCGAAGTTAACGTTTTCTCTTGTCTTTTATTACATTTTTGGTCTTAAGAGTATATATGATGTCCGTCAGTATGTTGAACAACGAATTTATCACAAACAGTGATGTCCTAAATTTTTAATAAAAAAAAAGTATATTTTGACAGACTTAACGAATTACAGAGTACTCTATTTCAGTGGACTGACAAAACTACTTATTATTCCGTTCCATAGATACTAATACTTTTCTTTTATATATTTATATTTCATTCTTTTCGTCTTCTCCGTTTTCTTATTGAAGTTCTTTATTACACTTGGTGTCGCTGCTGGTGGACATGGTGATTTTTCAGATGATTACTTATCAAAGCCCTGGGCAAATACGTCGCCCAAAGCAGCACTGAATTTTTGGCGTGATCGAGCCAATTGGAAATCAACTTGGACCAGCCCAGCACTGATTGTTGATTATGTGCGTGTCTATGCAATATAAAAACATAACAAAAACACTTTCCGCTATGTAAATCCATATATCTGGCGTATATTGAAATAAATTTGATACATTTTTTTATACTTAAATTTATAAAGTTGTTTTAATAAATTACCCATAAATAAATTTATGTTACTCAGCGAATACTCGTGTAAATATTGTTTATGTATTAGGACCAAAAAAAATGTTTCTTCGAACAAAATTACCTTGACATATTCACGTTTATTATATACACAGTATTCCCCTCTTATTTAAAACAACTTATTGGTCAAGAATATATTGCATACAACATACGTGTTAATTTTCCCGCTTAATTGAACCCGGTTAACTGGCTTCCCCGCATAATTGGTTAAAAATATGTGTTATTGAAAAAAATATACCTTTAATTTTCCCCGCTTATTTGCACAAAGAACTGTCTTTGAACTTTTACTAACTGTTTTATCAGACCTAACATTATACGAAGAGAGGGTAATATAATGCGGTCTCTGGCTACTCGAGAGGCATTCATTACATTCATACTATCCGGTACTAAGTTCACTCTCAAAGGCCCAACTTTTTTAGTTCAGTGTTCTGTCTTGCATGGGCTATCCCGTTAGCACAAGAAACAGGGGTATTTTCTATATCCTTCTTGTTAACCCAACAGAAAATTTAGTATTTTAAAATCGACGCATATCAGCTAGTTATGTTCTATGTATTTTATTTTCTCCATAACCAAATAGGCATTTTTTGTAAAATCAGACGCATTTAAACAGCATTCTCTAAATATATAGTCACCACAAGCTGCACAAAAACTATTCGGATCATTTAAACATGTTCTTTTTAATGTATACATAGCGGTTTATTTATGAAATTTAGTAATTTTTTGCCCTAAAAATTAATTCAAGTAAGCCGAGTGACGATATTTCAAGATGTATCTGTATCATTAAAACTAAAGCTGCTAGAAAGAAACTAAACTGGTAGATATGAAATCAGCGACCTCAGATTAGTAAAAAACAGTTTATGAACTTTATAAAACAAAAAAGTTTAATTTTGTTTACCAGTTTTATCGATACTGAGACCCAATTTGCTACAACTTGATCAAAACGAATGATCATAATGGCCAATTGACGTTAACTCTCTCAGAATCATACAAACGTAAGGACCAATAACAGGGAGAACACTCCCGCTGTACGGCAAAAAGCCAGCGCCTATCAGAGAATCCTTTACACATATTATAATCTTATATTATTTTTTATTGCTTTTAAATTTTTATTAACGTAACTTCCTATTTCAATTTAAATAGATGAGAATGGAATCACTATGGCAATATATAATATTGAGATTAATGAACAGTGTCCGTTATTATTGGATTTGATAACTAAACAAAGGGACAATCGTTGGACAACTGAACAAGGCGCTCGTAAATTGCAGAGAAATGCTAAAGTAAAAATAAATGTACTAATAATACATAAGGAGGGTATATTTTCACGAACCGATAATGTAAGACTCTCAGACAATAGTATCATCCATGAAACTATTCTGGAATCTGACAAACCGATCGATCCATGTACGGCAACTAATCCACAGCTAAATGCAGCCACAAATGCTGTTATTAAGAACAGTGAAACTAAAGTTGTTGTGAACAATAAACCTTCTGCAAGAATATTCAAACCGAATGAGTTAATTTTTGAAGAGAAGTTCCAATCACCAACACTATCGAATTGGAATCGTAGAAATTTTATGCATTCAAATTCAATAGGGGATCGATCAGAGGATTTTACAGCTGTAATCGATAAAGATCCCTATCTAGATGTGAATGGTGGAACTTTACTAATAACACCAACAATATCGAATAGAACAAATAAAGAAAGCTTTCAACTTGAAAAGTAAGAACTTATGAAGTGATTATATTGAAAATCGCTTAAAATTGTGTAGACATTACAGAAGCCTCTTATATTTCCATAATTTGTCATTTCATTGGCTTTTTAGTGCAGAATTCAATTTTAAATTAGCTTAGCTAGGCGTTCGAGAATGAAAGCGGATAAAGTAATTAAGATTGTATGTATGTGACTGCAGCAAAAATAGATTTCTAACAGACGCCAAAATATATCGAATTTATTACTTTCACGACACATATTACATGGCACGGAGAGGAGAGGTTTCCGGACTCATATCGCTACAAAATTTTAAATATTAGGAAATGGTTTTAATCAAAGATTTTATACAAGCAAAACTTACAATTCCAAAAGGCGGTGCCTTTAGTGTGCTCTTTTTTATTGTTATAGAAAAGGATATTTTTCAGCTCCTTCCAATGAAATGATCTTAAGGGGTTAGGTCAGTCTTCAGCCATCGAAAAAACCTAATTTTGAATGATTATTCTAGAAGTAAGTTATGAAAAAATGAATAGAATTTTTCTCTATTAGACTTTATTAAACATGTATTTAAGTCTACAAAAAAAAAATATTTATATTTGTAATACTTTGTTACAAAATGACGGCCCTTGACGGGCATTTGTAATTCTAAGAACACGCGTTATCTGAAAAACATTAAAAAACGATATCTTAGTCTGAATATGCCCAACTAGTAAATGACGTATTTTTAGCTATACCATAAATCAACTTTTCGCAAAATGGCAAAGTTTAAATAAAAATTTTATGTTTTGTTCGAAATTTTTAATGAAAAAATTATAAAAACAATAATTACTAGATAATGTAACTGTGGAGCTACAACTAAAATCAAGTGGATGCGTATAATAGTCTTCGAGTACCATCGCCGTCTGATTGAAAAACACTTAAAAAATTAGATAGGGACTTTTCCCCCTTAAGGGTTAGGGGTAGTCAGAGGCACGAAAAAATGCGAATTTTCAGCAATTTTTTTTTGCTATAAAATCATGTTATTTTACAGAAGTAGTAATATGGCATTATTTTACAATGTTTTGACTTGAGGTCACGAAAATTTCAAAGAAAAACATTTTAATTTCCGAAGTTATAGCTGTCGGTGTTGACCCAGTTCCAAAACAAGGTCCTTGCGGTGACAATCATAAGTCCTTGGAGATTCATCTAAAATCAATCGGATAAAAAAATTAGTTTTATAAATAGATAATCCTGGGCTTGATCGAATCTTTTTTTGTTTTTTTAAAAATTAACAAAATAACGGCCTCAGGAAATTTTTTTCTAGATTTTTGGAAAATTGGTCTTAAAAAATCGAAATTTTTGAAAAAAAAAATCCATCGATCAGGCCCGAGTTTATTATGTATTCTAAAACATGTATAAATTTCATTAAAATCTACTAAGCGGTTTTCGAGTTACAGTACCAGTTCAAAAAACATAGTTTTCAGAAAAACGCATTAAAAGTTTAACCTACCTGCTCCCGAGCGCTTTAAAGTGTCCGAGCGCGCTTTGTTATTTGTCGAATAACTCAAAAAGTAATTATCGGATCAACTTGATATTTTCAGAGAATATTTTCAAGATATTACACTTAACGAAAAAATTTTGAAAATTCTGACTACCCCTAACACCTTAAGGGAATTTTAAGCCAAAAAAATTTGATTTTTTGAAAAACCTGGACTGGCCTAATCACTTACAGAGCTGAATTGGGAAAGTATCGGGCTTTTTTTTACGAAAGTAAAGGTGTTACAGCGCAATACATGAAACGTTCTCTCACTTCGTTCTACGCTTCATAAGGAATAGAAGGCACTAATTTAAACAGAAAATGAGGCAAATTGGTGTATCTACACAAAATATTTTATTGGTAGAAAATATTTCAAAATATTTATGTCTTCAATGAAACAAAAACAATTCAATTGTCAGATTAAAACATTATCTTTATAGTTGTAGAAGTCCTGTTTGCTATGAGAACAACAACTTTACTTGCGCATATGTGAAAGATAAAAATAGATCATATGCACATCCACCACCAGTAAACACGGGGAGAATCGACACAAATGGTAAATTCAGTTTTACATATGGACGTATTGAAATCTATGCAACCCTGCCCAACGGTGATTGGTTATTCCCCTGTAAATGCATAAATATATCTAATATTTGAAATATGAATTATGTGTTTCTTTACATGCAGATATTATGCTTATACCCGACAAACTCAATTGTACTATGCGGAAACAACTTCGCATAGCTTTTGCCACGTCAGTTGATCTCGAAAATAAGCGTATGCGTGGTGGCCCAGTAATATTAAATGCCCGACCTAATAAAGACAAATATTACTTCGTTCGTACAAATCACATGGCCATCAGCACGGATTTCAATCCAAATGGCTTTCACAACTTCACGCTAGTATGGACTTCAAGCGCAATCGGTATTTTCGTCGATAATAAGAAGTACGGTTGTTTCATAAACGTAGATGAATTTGCGGAACCTGTAAGTACTTACAAAGACTAATTTTTTTATTCTCTTGCAACATATTGCTATAGAGTATAATAGTTTAGTTCACCTAACGGTTGTTTGTATCACCTAAAACTAATCGAGTTAGATATAGGGTTATGTATATATAAATGATCAGGATGAAGAGACGAGTTGAAATCCGGGTGACTGTCTGTCCGTCCGTCCGTCTGTCCGTCCGTGCAAGCTCTAACTTGAGTAAAAATTGAGATATCTTTATGAAACTTGGTAGACATGTTTCTTGATACCGTGAGACGGTTGATATTGCAGATGGGCGTAATCGGACCACTGCCACGCCCACAAAACGCTATTATTCAAAAACAAATAAATTGCCATAACTAAGCTCCACAACAAGATACAAGACTTTTATTTGGTATACAGGATCACAAGAGGGAGGGGCATCTGCAGTTAAAATTTTTTTTTAAAGTAATAGGTTTAATGTGCATATCTCCTAAACCGCTAATGCAATAATAACAAAATTCACTGTAAGCAAATGTTTTTAGAACCTCTACCTACAGTGTGAAATCGGGTGGCAACTCCGCCCACTCCCCATATAACGGTACTGTTAAAAACTACTAAAAGCGCGATAAATCAAACACTAAACACGCCAGAGACATTAAATTTTATCTCTGCGATGGTATGAGATGACTTTAAAGGAACCGCGTTAAAAATTAGACAGTGGGCGTGACACAGCCCACTTTTAGGTGAAAACCCATATCTTCAGATCTGCTTAACCGATTTCAACCAAATTCGGTGCATGACGTTCTCTTCATATTTCTATGTCATAGTGCGAAAATAGGCGAAATCGGACTACAACCACGCCTATTTAACAACACCAACACGCCTATTTTATACCACCTTTTTCAATTTTATCTGATTCTTTCACTTTTCACTATGCAAATCAGGTAACAATGACTGTATCGGGATAAAACTTTGCGTGGATAATGCGATTAAAGTATGCCACCTTGCGGCCAAAAATTGTCTAAATCGAACCAAAACTGTTCAAACCCCTAAGTACTAAATATGTGGACCCCAGTGCCTATAGTTGACCTTCTACCGAAAATATCAGTCAATCCACAAAGAAATCTCAAACGAGTATACTATTTGACTTTGGGAGAGTATAAAATGTTCGGTTACATCCGAACTTAGCCCTTCCTTACTTGTTTTTTATACTCTTGCAACATATTGCTATAGAGTATAATAGTTTTGTTCGCCTAACGGTGGCTTATATCACCTAAAACTAATCGAGATAGATATAGGACTATATAGACATATATAGTAATGATCAGAATGACGAGACATCCGTCTGCCTGTGCAAGCTGTAGCTTGAGTAAAAAATGAGATATCGCTCATGGAACTTGGAATACGCGTTCCTTGGTAAAAAGCTGTGAACGTGCTCGTAGATGGGCGTAATCGGACCACTACCACGCCCACAAAACGTCATTAATCGAAAATCAATAAAATGCCGTAACTAAGCAATAAATTAAGATATCGAACTGTAATTTGGCACAAGAGATCGCAGTAGCAAGGGGCACCTATGGGCTAAAAACTTTAAAAAAATGGACGTGGTCCTGCCCTCTAAGCGGTTTAATGTACATATCTCCTAAAACCAATATAGCTATAATAAACAAATTCGCTCACTGTAAAAATGGATGATAACCCCACCCACTCCCCATATAACGGTACTGTTAAAAACTACATAAAGCGTGATAAATCTATAAATAAATGCGCCAGAGACATGAAATGTTGCATTCGAGATGGTACGAGAGGACTTCATAGGAGACGGAGTCAAAATTAGACAATGGGCGTGGTACATTTAGATGGAAACCTATTACTCGGGACCCGTTTGAAAATGGCCGATATCGGACTACAATCACGCCTATTACCTAATATGGGCATTACACAATTTAAAATTTCATCTGATTCTTTCACTTTCCTGTATATAAATTAGGCACCAATGAATGTATCGGGATAAAACTTTGCACGAGTACTGACTTAGAAGTGTTCCATCTTATGTCCAAACATTGTCTAAATCGAAACAAACCTGTTCAAGCCACCAGGCACCGAATATATGGATCCGAGTTCCTATTATAGCAACTCAGAGAGAATCGTTATTTGATATCAATATGCCCTTGTGCCAAAAATAGGTTAAATCAGATCAATAATTCCATTAGTCCCCATATACCTAATAGTAAAATTTTCGAGCTTCCGGCGAACTTTGTACCGCCAATATAGCTCAATATGCGAGTTATCTAAATGAAATTAAAATAGCGTGTTTTTCTTATAACAATATATCTTTGTGCATAAAAGTTTTAAACTAGCTCTAGCCGCCATATAACTAATATTAGTATTTTAAAACATTCAGTAGACTTTATCCCGCATATATTTGTGATTGTATGTGACATACCCTAATGAAACTCAGAGATCATCTTTTTCTGAGGTAATGGCAAAAATAGATTAAGCGGTTTAATACAATGCCGGAAATATGTGATATTGGTCTACAAATTACACAAACCCTCATATACTACATATAATGAGTTTCGTTATTCTAACAACCCCAATGCTCAAAATGGTCAGTGTAGGAATTCCCCGGATTTGACCCTTGCAAGTTGCAAGAGTATGAAATGTTCGGTTTCACCCGAACTTAGCCCTTCTTAATTTATTTTAACTATTTATTTATCTATTATACTATTGATTAATTTTATCTGCTTATTATAATATTTAGTATCATATCGTGTTGGGCGTTGGAGCTGGAGGCCACTTTGAATTTCAGGATACGCTAAGCAAGCCATGGCGAAATAATATTAATTCCGCATTTGCCTTATTTTATCGAAGTTTCCAGGATTGTTGTAAACAAGCGGCATTTAAACCAAACTGCTCTGAGAAGAATAGACAGAGAACATGCAGCAGGGAGTGGGGCCCGCAGGCGACCATGGCTGTGAAATACGTACGAGTGTATGCTGTGTAACGTTATCTGTATAACTGCATTATTTTTTTAATTTTGTGTAAATATATTAACAAATTATTAGTAACTCTTAAATAGCTTTCTAAAATTGTTAACTTAATTTTTTGTAAAACTTATAAAAATAATAAAATATATTTATACAAACAGTCTTCAATACGCCAAGGCTTAGGAAGTAGCAAATCGAACAACTTGTATCGCATGACATAAAACGACTTAATTAAAAAGGTTTGGAATAGTAAGCAAATATATTCATTTTAATGAGGTATACATATGCTCTCTTAGCAGGTGGTGAAGTGGTAAATTGAATATTGATTTCCCGACTTAGTGTCATATCGAACTGAATATCTTGTCAAAGACCAGCTTACTTGTATGTTTCTCGACGTGGCAGGTTAGAGTAGATAAATTGGTCGATCCTTGTGACAGAAGTAAGGACAGATCCCACACTTGGACAGCTGAATATGCGAGTCCTTTATGTTGCCACTAAGTCCTAATTTTGGATTAACATTACCCTCGTAAATCGGCAATGCACAAAGTTGCGGCTAGCAAGCTGTTTTAATACCGAAAGTTGTGACTAGATGTTTTGCCTCGCTCTCTTTAATACAACTTTTACCATTGAGATTCGGATAAAGGTATTCGATGTGTACTCAATTTCTCGGAGTTTGATATCAACCTTGGCAGCAATGAAATCTACCGGTTATGTCCATGGGTGCTAATAATAGCATTAATTGCCTACGTTGGTGTTGTACGTAGTGCCCCAGTGTCGCTAAAGAAAGACGTTCTAGATTTTTAGCGAGTGTGGCTGCACCGATTCCGTCTCGTCGTCATGTAGACCCAATATTAAGATACTCTCCCTTCAACATTAGCATCCTGTCAAGGATAAGACCCAATTACTTAATGCTACTTTGTCACTCCTGGTAAATAAAACCAGTTCCGTTTTATTTGGATTGACAGATAAGCCGCTGTTTTTTCCTGCTCTTTCACATTAAAGTGACCCTTATACCATAGGAACAACTACAACAACGAACAATTGACGTAGGTTATCATCCGACAGTCGCGTTCCTCTAGTTCTTTCAATAGGTCAAAGGGGAGAAGATTCACATATTGCGTATAAATAGATCTTCGCTACGTATAAAATCAAAAAGTGTCTCATCCCTAGACTTTCCGTTTGAACTCTCCCATTAACAAACAATCGGCACTCTCGCATTAAGCTGGTGGTCCAGGATTACTCTTGGCGGATATAGCCACCGCTACCAGCTTCTATTCGTCTCGAGAGATGGCTTCATCCCCCTACTGCGGTGAAACACACAAAGTTCTATGGAGTCGGCAAGTTTAGCGTTTTTGCTGAAAGTCGGTGGCATTTCTGTCCATAGCTGCTTGCCGAGGAACACTTTTTCCTTATGAGACCTCTGTTGCTTGATTGTAGATTGGGCCCGTCATCACACACGCTTAGTACCTCCTTAACCTAATCTACTATGCTAGCATGCTACTCAGCATTCTCGGGCAGAGCTCTAACTCCCTAATTTTTCCATTTGATTTCAGCAGCCACCCCCCACTAATTTTTTACATATCAAATCAAGATCCTATGACTCCTTGTCAGTAATGCATACTTGCCAATAAATACCTAACTGAAGCTTATACACGCCACTGAGATATAAGTGTGCCCCTTATAAATCAAGTGCAACCTTCAATATTCCCGCAATCAGTTAAAGCCGTTTCATTGTGACCCAAAAGATAGGAACGAAGACGATATTTAAAAATCCCCTTTTCCCCTTATGATTTAAAATTCAACTAAAACTTTGCACTTTAAATAATTATTAAGCCTTACTAGTTCATTTCAAATTACCATAGACTTGCACATGAATCTTATCCAATTTGAATGGGTTGTCTTTTTCGAAATCATCCATTTTACAACAATTAGAGCAACAGGTCCTTATTCATATCACTCATAAGCATTTATTTTTGCGCACAATTACCAACTGTACACTTCATCCCAGTTTCAGATTTTTGAAAGCGATTTTTTTTTTAATTTAACTTCTTATCACTTCTGAAACGAACTTGATTTTTTTTTTATAAAATATGGGTTTCTGCTGCGAATTTATCAATTTTAATTTTAATAACGGGTTTGACTTATCTACATATGTATGACATTCGTTGTAAATGACATCAGGCTAGATTGTTGTGAAAAAAACAAATGTACTTATACTTATTTCAAATTAATATACAATATATTTTAAAAGCAAAATTATTTCATAGAATCTTTGACACAAATTATTATTAATTGCTTACAAGTACATTCGCAGTTTATAGCTCTTTATAATTAATATTTAAGCTGTTTCAAGGACTACACAAAATTATGGCAACCAGCCAATTTGAATTAACTTCGTCATCATACATATGATTTCAAAGTTGTGGGGACCTTTTCTCTGTGAACGTTGGTGTAGTATAACATACCATATTTTCAAGTGTTGGCAAAATATTATAAAACCTTACTAAATTCATTCGTTGTTTCGCCAAATTGTGAAAGGAATAGAATCGTCCGTGGTATTTGATTAATTTATACTAGGGTGGCCTGACAAGTACCACCCGATGTCGCCACTAACGTAAGAGAAATTTGCTATCGTGTAGCGTCCTTCAAAAATTAGTTTAACGAGTTTCATAGTCGAAATATTGAATTTTACCCGGCTCAAATGTTCCTAAGAAGACGAAGAGTATTCTATCGGCCCGAAAGCTGATATGGCCACCGTTGTATATGGGATTCACAAGGTGCGATCTACAGCGATTGCTTATAGAAGAGAAAAATGAACACAGCTATCGACGATGCCGACTCGACTTCGAGTGGACAGTAATTACAGCGCCTTTTGACTATGAAAAAAGTGTTGATCGACCATATGCTACAAACTGCTATCCCATCCACCATATTCTCCGGATTTAGACCGTGTGACTTCTTTCCATACTTTTCATACCCGAAATAGCACTCGCCGTCTGCGGTCACGTGACGTAATTATAATTATTTCTTAGATAATTTTAGAAAGACTTTTGCAGTGATAACCCAACAACCATTCTATTTTGCACCTACATACACATATACATGACATATTCGTATGTATTAATATGTTTTTGCTTAAAGAAGTATTTACAATCAGTTTAAAAACATCACTTGCATAGCTAAGTTAAATAATTTTTTATTGCCATTTCATAGTGTTTTAGAAAGAAAAATGTTCTCATCATATATATTAAATATAAGTTTATGGCTATGTTGTTATAATGATTTAAGTGTAATGGCACAAGTTAAAGTGGATGAGGGAAATAGAATTTTAATGACGGGTGAGTATATATACTTTATTTATTCTAAAAAATGTATTCTTGGACATCTCTAAGAAAGCACCTCCAAGTATGAGATCTTAATTGTAACGGAAAGGTCCTGAGCCTTAAAGTTTAATAATTTTTTCTTATTATCAGATAAAAAAATTCAAAACTCTTTTTACAAAAAGAAAAGCTCATAGTTTTGTAGTAAATTGCTCTATAAAAATTGTCACTTATAATTAAATACATATATATTATATATATATGAGATGCATTGATATTCGACGATCATTATTTCGTACACGATTAACTTAATCGATAACAAAACAAGAAAAAACGTTAACTTCCTGTGAGCCAATAATCATTTCAAAGTGAGCCTAGACCGGCTCCCTATATGGTTAAATCTACATATCTTCCAAACAGCTGAAGCCAACTCTACCTAACTTGCTGAAAAGAATTCTTTCTAGCATTTCTTCATACATTGTGAAAATGGGTAATATTATTACAAAACAAGAAAAATCTCTTGTTTGAAATATCTGAAAATAGGGCAATACTTCCCCTAGTTTAATGCAAAGTTTTACCAATATCTGAAGGTATTTCTTCGGCTTTGCTTCTAGCAAGTTGGGAGAGTATAACATATTCGTTTACAACTAAACTTAGCCCTTCCTTACTTGTTTTTCATTGAGTTATAAAATTCATAAGAAAAACAAATATATTTCTTAATCAAAACATTAACCGTGAATATCTTTTAAACGGTTAGCTTAACGAAAAACTCGTAGGAGAGCTTTTTGTAGAGCACTCAATTTCCTACAAAGCCTATGAAACGAAATATTTTTTCAAGTTATAGTTGAAAGCGAGATTTGCATTTTTCTACCTGAAAATAAGAAAAAAATAGTAAACTGTAAGGCGAAGGATCTTCCCGTTACAATTACGAATTCATACTTGGAGAGACTTTCGTAGAGGTGTCTAAGAAGTTGTTTTTTAGAGTACAAAGCGAAAAAACTATTCGATTTTTTTTACTCACCCTTAGACTGGGCGCCAAAAACCAAATTGAACCTTTTTTGACTTTTCCTTTCGTTAGATACTGTGAAAATATCGTGAATATATTTATTGTTTATTCTTATAGAGAAATTAACGATTTGCAAAAGAGATCCGAAATGATATTTTGCTTAGTCGATTCGCTCAAAAGTTATTCGAGGTCAAAGTCCAACATCACATCGTATTTATCATCATATTTAGTATCATATCGTGTTGGGAGTTGGAGCTGGAGGACACCTTGAATTTGAGGATATGCAAAACAAGGCATGGCGAAATACACTTAATTCCGCATTTACTTTATTTCATCGAAGTTTCCAGGGTTGTTGCAAAAAAGCGACATTTAAACCAAAATGCCTTGATAAGAAGAAAGAGTGAATATGCAGCGGGGAGTGGGGCCCGCAGGCGACTATGCCTGTGAAATACCTAAGTACGAGTGTATGCAATATAATATGATAGCAAAAATATATCTGTTGGATGAACCAAATTTTTAAAGCTAATGTGTTTTACCAATTCGTAATTTTTCTCATAGAAGCGTTGAACAGTATAGATGAAAAGTGCTTTTGTATTTGAAGTCAAGTTCGGAGTTTCGGTTTATAGTCAGATGGAGAGTAAAAAAGGACGAATATTGCGGATTTGCGTATACTGGGGTTAAGGGAAGATTTCAACTGATTTGACATTACTCAAGTATATTCGACAACATGTTTCCATGAAATTTTGTGAAGATAATTCCCACACTAACCGAAGCAAAAAGCTGAGATAATTCGTAAAGCAATTTCACACATTTTCTGCATTAAACTACAAGTATAGTATATCCAATGTTATACATTTACATAATTTGCCCTTAGATATTGACCAATAAATATGGTATAAAGCCAAGCGGAAGTTTGAATATGAGGGGGTATTACGACATATCATTACCAAAATTAGATGCTCTCTGAGTTTAAATAAAGTTTCTACGAAAACATCCCAGTAGAGGCTGCCTGAAGAGGAGTGCATTGTGTTCCTTAAGGGGGTATTTTAGTCTAGAAATTTTAAAATATCTAACATTTTCTTATGGTACATCTTTTAACAGTATAGATATTCAAAAATATCTTTCTAAAAGAACGATTGGCCAGAAGCTGCCGGCTAGCAACTTGCAGCTTTTGTTGTAGCGCCTAAAATCTAATTGGAATTTTAATGTTATGGACTGTGTTATTAAGATCCAGTCTGTACTTGTTGTTGTTGATGTAACAATTATTTAGACCCTGTTAGGGGTAACAGGGTAACAGTAGGCCTAGGAAACGAGCTGTTTTGACGGGTCCGTACCATAGGGAGAAGGGGGTTAAGTGAGTAGGTTTCATTGCTCATCTAAAGAGGTGCTTAGTGTCGTGCGGGAACTCGTTGCATGCAGGGGGTCCAGTCTGCATAAGTAAGAATTTAACCTGCTATAGTACCCAGAGCGAAGTTGCGCTAGGGTCATTCGTGCTCTTATTCTGCGATGGGTGGTATTTGGACTCCAAGTACGCCATTTATTGGAAGGGAGTCAATGAAGGTGTTTATAGCTCCACTGTAAATGGCGTTCAGTGCTTGTAAGAAGTTGGTCGCGTCCGAAACTTGGTCGGTATATGGTGCTAGCTCATCGACATATTGAAGGAATGTTCTCCTGATGTTACCGCGAAGCGTATCCACCTCAAGTAGTTGACTACAGCGATGATTTCGGCAAAAACATCCGAGCAGAAACTGCTTGGAGAGAAGTGTGTTATATTCCTTTACAGGAAGCATTAAGGCCTCACTGTGTAGATGTTCGATTGGAGACAACAGGAAGCATGCCGTTATAGTCCGGAGTGCGACATTCTGGCAGGTTTGAATTTTCTCCATCTGCGTCTTGTCAACAACGTCTCTTTGTCTTTGCCCCAAGTGCTGCTGGCTAGCGATTTGAGGATCTTGTTGCGGCTCGGTAATTTTGCGACAATCACGGTTGTGTACGGAGAGAAGTAGTGCAGACTATCAAGTGTGGCACCTAAAATTTTAAGATTATTTATCGTCGGTTCCAACAACAGTCGGTTCTATGATACCGGAGTTGACCCTCTAACCCTGTTTGGATCGGTAAGTAATCCAGTCTGTACTCTTCCCCATTGGTGGGGAGGAATGTCGGGGTCTATTCTGGATAAGTAGGAGTTTAACCTGCTATAATATCCAGAACGAAGTTGCGCGAGGGTTATGAACCGCATCGAATTATCTGTTCAAATACAATATGAATTAACTAATTATTTGACCCCTTGACATTCTGCTTCATGCGAAAGAAGCCCAGGCTTCGCATGCGGGATATGTTTAAGGAAATGTTTCACTATTCAAACAACATTTTTTACGCCCTAAGCAGAGTATATTAAGCTTGTTATGAAGTTTATAACACCCAGAAAGATACGACGGCGACCCTATAAATGAGCAGCATGATGAGCTGATTGGATTTAGCCAATTCCGTCTGTATATATGCTCTGTCTCTCGGTTTTGAAATAAATGATCTCACCGTTCTATTTTCCCCAATAGCTGTTCATTTATCAGAATTACCATACAAACTGAACGATCAAAATCCAGTTTTTATATATAAAACTTTTCAATTTGAAGAGATATCTGCATGACATTCGGCTGGAATTATTCTCCAAATCAACGGTACAATTTCTGAAGAAATTTTCAAGTCGGTACACTAGAGCATATAAGCAGCTGCCATACAAACTGTGCGCTTAAACTCTTTAATGGAAGTCTGGTGCAACCGAATTTAACTTTTTTCCTTGCTTTTATTTTATTTTAATCATCCAATTATGTTTTTTATTATATGAGACTGGCCATAGCATTTAGCACAACACAACAATTTCAAAAATAGCATTTCGAAAATTTTCTATTTAAATAATATTTATTGAATTCCCTCATAAATCAATTACAACATAATTTTTCTACGTTAAAATACAAAGGCAAATTTACACAGGAGAAAACTATGAGCCAATGCGGGGAGCAATTGCTATATATCAATACGCAATTTATATAGTACAAAAATGTGTGTGTATGTATGCATGCTTATGTGATACAATACTAAATATATATTATTTTGTCCTCTAATCCTTTAATATTATTTTAACTAATGGGATAATATGTTCATTTATAACTTCACTTATTTACTCATTTGCAAATATTAATCTTAGATGTATATATCTTTAATTTGGGTTATCCACATTTGAAATTAACCGAAACGAAGCAGTACGGCAATAGCAAATAACTTCATTGTGGTTGGTATACAGATCGTTACAAAATTTACACATCATAATTTATACGTCTGGGTCACATTTTTATTAATTATTTAATATAAGAAATTATATTTTGAGTGTTTTTTTACAACACTACTAAACAAATACAAAAAAAATTAGCTATGTTATCGCAAAAGCAGATCATCTAATTGCTTCAGCAATAATACACACGTTCGTCAATTATGGGTAACTGCTGGCTTCGTTTCCTCAATATTTATTCAAAAATGTTTCAATATCGATTATATTAACTGCAGCCTGAATGATTACAATATAACTAATTTTACACATCTTTTAATTCTGGTGGCATTTCATTTTTGGGGTGTTTATTCTCAAAATGTTGTTTGTACGTTTTTGGATCGGGCATTTGAGACTGTAATTATATTTGATCAATAAGTACTATTTATATATGTATAATCAACAATAATTTACCGTACCTTGCAAACCGCGCATACATGAACGAGCGCCTTTTGTGCTGCCTTCTTCTGATCGTTGGCACTATGACCTTGTTGTTTTTTCATTTTTGCTTGCTTTTCTTGAGACTTAGCTTGAGACTGAAGCTTTTGATGTCCACGAGCCATATTGTTTAACAACTGCAAAAAGGTGTGTTTAAAACATTAAGTTGTTAAATAATATTTTTATGGTATATACATATCTATACATATATATATATATAGATAAATTTTCAGAAAGTGCGCTTTTTTTGCGATTAAATTTTTGTGTATTTTAATTATACGTAGTAGAACTGTTTCAAAAGAAAATTTACAAAATATATTTGCCAACTCTCTTTTCAATGTGAACAATTTTGTAAAGGTGGTCCGCTTAACAATGGCTTTGGGAAAACGGAAGCGGTTTTTTTCCAGATCACAAAGTTAAATTTTACACAACTTACATTTCGGTATGTTGTAAATGCCGTTAATGCAAATGCGAAGAAAACAAATTGTGAGGCAACAGGTTTTTGTAAACTTTCTCTACTTCATGTGCATCTGCGTTTTAATGTAATGAAAACATACAGATGCATATTTTTATATGCATATTTGCAATTCAGTCATTTAGACGTGGCATCACAGCGCGATGATACGTAGAAAATCACATGTAACATCATCACAAAAACAAAGAAATTTTCGTTAATCATAAACTGAGTAAATTTTTCCATTGCACTGATCAGAACATAAAGTTAATTCGAAGCACATATTTTTAATCAATATGTCATCGCTCTTTTTTAAGCCGGTCTAAATGTTTGTTTTCCTTAGTTTTAGCGAACTTCATTTGGTATTATATGCGGCAGGTAAATAGCGATTAATTTACCTCAACATATTTTACATACTTATATGAAACACGCGCAACAGCCACGTTCTAGACAGCTGTGATAGTCACATTTGGTTCAATTTTCCGTCGTCAAGAACATTTGCACCTTTTAAGTATGTACATTACTTTCCCGCAATGGAAAAAATATATAGTTTAACACTAATGCAACTTTGTGAGTTACATTTTACTTTCGTTTTAGCTCAAGCATTTCAGCTGTAAAAAACTTAGTTTAAACGTGTAATTCCTTTAAAAGAAACAAAAAAAAAAAGCATTTACTACTTCTCGAACAATTTTATTATTGCAACCAAAGCAGCGACTCGAACTTTAGCGCAGCTGCTTATACACGCAGTAATCCCGTACATTATGATGACAACTTACTTAATTTGTACAACGTGGTTGATCTTTTATGAAAATTATTATTAAAATGCGTTAAATTCTTTTCAAAAACAATGTACTGAAGACATAAAGTACTCAATAAATTCACAAATACTTTGATTTCTGTTTATTATATCCGAAATTACAGACTGTTAAATTTTTGTAATCAACTTCTCCCGTAATGCTTTTGAGTTCACTTTCAATTAATAAAAGGTGAATATGTGGATTTTGGAACATTTCGTAGTTGTCAAAGCGTCTCCGAAAACAAAGAAAAGAAGCAATAGAAAAACTGACATACAAAAAGTGAAACAGTAAATAAATAAAATACTGCCTTATCAATTATTTGCGTGTTCGATTTTAAACAAGAGTAAAAGGAATGGCACTATTATTTATTTGTGGAATGAAACAAAGTAAATGCAACAGAGGTGTTCTCGCGCCACAAATGTATTAAGATATAAATATCGCATATGCGAGTAAAAAGACTTACCAAGATATATATTAATTTCTAGGACTATCAAATCATACCGTATATTTAAATTACAAGCAAGTTTTTAATAGGATAGCATAATACACAATGACTGCTAGACTACAACTCAAGCTATGATATATTAGAAGTTTGATAGTTAATTTTATCTCTTAAGCTTTTATAGTGTTTTTTTTTATATCAGCTATCCTATAATGTAATCATATATGACTTAATTTTATAAAACATCTACAAAACATTTTGTTAGCATTAACAGTAAGCCTTAATACTTCAAATTCTGACCTGAAGGCGTATTGGTAGTTATAACCACAACTTTGTTTATCATCCTTAATGTTGTTGCCCTAATGAAATTAAAATGGCTTCAAATTTGTTAGATATGTGTTTTTATAATACTTTTGCATTTATAATTAAGACTTTTCAGTAAAAAGTAATTTCATTTCGTTACGATAAAATGTAGTATTGCAATCGATAAGTTTGTGGACACGAAGTTGATAGTTTAATCACACCACTAGTCAGTTCTTTGTCATCGCCCAACGAGCAGCTGGAAAAAATTTGGGGAGAGCTGCATATTTTCAGTTGATTAAATAAAAAGGTGAATAATTGGTTTGAAATAAAATAAATCGCTGCTTTTAATAGGCAAAAGTGCAAATGGAAATGAAAATTGCATAATATTTGCTTGAATGGTGTAGACATTCAGTGAACAAACGTTTTGAAAATGAAAGAATAACCAGATTTTTTTCTTACCTATTTGTAGTTGACATTACGAAGAATTGAAAAAGGGAATAATAACCAGTCTTTTTTCGTCATAGCTTTCTATTTTTTCTTTTAGGATTGTGCTATTTTGTTCGAGTGTAGAAAATATACGTTAGGAAGTAAATAAACCGAATAAACATACGCGGCAGTAGCAAAAACCCTCTACTGAAAACTCTAACGGGTGGATGTGACGTTAAAGTGGCGATACAAAAGAAAAAAGAACTTAAACAACAACCTAAGCAGTGAAAAGCAAATATTGTAGCGATGGATATTTTGGACATCGATGAAGCGCTAAAAGATGATTCTTTTATGTACGTATACTCTAAAACTAGCTCTTAGGCAATTAACTTCATTTTTGTTTTCTCTTTATTGATTGGTGTGCACAGTTGCTTGGAAGATAAAACACACGATGACGTTTCGAATATTTTGCAACAATGGAAAAGCAACAATTGTCTTCTACCAGCACAGTATCAGCAAGAACAAGGTATGAAACTGTTAAAGCTTGATTTAAATAACAACGGCCCACTGCTTCCGTGTGGCATTTGTGTATATGTAATAATGCGTAAAGATAATAATGTTTGCAGATACATATGTTTTGCAGATTGTGCGTGCATAACAAATACGCCGACAGTGAAATAATTATTACCAACACTTTTAAAATTGAAAACAATGACTCATACGTAATTTCTTCAAACATATAATACTTTTTTGTTTGTTGTATTAATTTTCTACTTGGCCTTGAAGCCCACGATATTTCACACTTCACTCAATTACATATAACCATAAAATAGTTTCTTTTATATTTCTTACATTATTTCGAACCGGCGTTCAATTAATGCATATATACAAACACCTACATACGCATGTAGCCACAATATTTATCAAAGTAGTGTACCGTCGTTTTCCCTTTTACAGAAGTTGTATTTCTGCATTTATGGTAGGCCTTAGATTGCCAATTACTAAGTAATATGTTTGCATTTTGTTTGTATTTTTTTCTGCATACGCTTGGTGCTGGTACTTGTCCTCAATGCCACATATATTTGTCACACATACGCTAACCGCATGGATCTACGTATTTTATTTGAAAACTGGTGATAAACATTTATCAGCCTACAAACTCAATTCAAGAACTTTTACTCGTCCACGCAGGAAGTCAACGCAAAATTTAGAGCAACATTTCGTAAGTATATCTTATACATATCATGTAATTTTACCGCTGAACAGGGTATATTAAGTTTTCCACGAAATTTGTAACACCCAAAAGGAACGTCGGAGACCCTATACAAGTATATAGATATATAAATGATCAGCGTGAAGGGTCGACTGGGCAACATTCATCTGTCTGTATACACGCGATCTAGTCTTAGTTTTTGAAATATCGATATAAAATTTTGCACACGCCCCTTTCTCCTAAAAAAGCTGATCACTTGTCGTAACTGAACGATATCGAGCTCCTATAGCATATAGCTGTCATACAAGTTGAACGATCGATATCATGTACTTGTATGGATCACTTTTTTATTTGACGAGATATCCTCACGAAATTTGAGATTATTTTACAAGGCCGTTGCCTTCTCCTAAGAAAATAAATGGTTCAAATCGGTCCGCATATAGCATATAGTTAACAAACAAACTGACCGATCAAAATCAAGTTCTGGTATGAACATTTTTGTATTTGTGAATGTTATTATAGTCTTGGTGCAACCGAAGTTATCGTTTTTTCTTTTTCCCAATTTTATATCAGTTTTTATCGGTTCAGTATCAGTTTTGCATTTCGAAACGTTGAATTTTTGTGGAAGCGGCATGAATTATCTGTAGTTCACCCGTTCCCACGACAGTCGGGTCTACGTAACCGGAACGGACCCGGGTTTATTCCGGCCAAGGACTGTCAACTCGGCAGAATCCTGCCGCTACAACAACAACAACAACATCTGTAGTTCACATCTGTTATTTTCTAAACACAGTTATAAATCACTTTTTTTTAATTCAATACTTTTTTTTATACACTTGTTACTTAATATAATTTTTTTAATTTAATAATTTTTTATATCCTTTTTAAGGCTCACAGTTCCGGAAACCATGGCGTACAGACAGCGTTTCCCATACACCAAGAACAGCTGCAACAAAAGTTCACAATTGCAACGCCACAGCCTGCATTTAATTTGGAAATAGGCGGTCTTGTTACAACAATGCATAAGTCGTTTTTGCAAGACACCTCACCACCATCATCCATATGTTCCTCCATGGAGATGTCAATGGAACGCATGAATAACTCCTTAATCACATCTGCCGACTTCACTAACATAAATTTCTTACAATCAACACAAAGCCTTGATTTTAACGAACCGACACTTAATGGCAGCGAATTATTTAACTTAGCGAATAAGGCAACCAGTGATGGGTATACTTTAAGTGACATGATACGCGACCGCAAAGCATTAGAATCGTTAACACTGTCGGGCGATGGAACACTAATTAAAGATTCACATATTGGCCAGATCGATGATATATCGCTCGCTTTTAGTAAAACTGCGTCCGGTTCTAGTACAATGGATAATTCCACGGAGAGCATGCAAGAGGATCATCAGCAACAACAGCAACAACAACGAAACGTTATAACAGCAGCACCAAATGCACACACAGTGGGCGTGTTTGGCAACAGTGCGGCCGCAAGCAAAAGCAACATTATGCATCGTACAATCTTGCTTAGCGATGAGGTAATCGGCGATACAACTTTTGAATTGGTTGAGAGTAGTCTATGTGAGAACAATATTAACGGTATTAATGGTAATGATAGCGCAGCACCAACCATGACAACAAATTCAGCAAATGAGACCTTCAAACGACCTTGGAACATGGATGAAACTGTCTGCATACCGAATAGAGCAAATGCAACATACGAATTCAAACAGTTAACACCAGATGCGCGTCTAGTATCATCGGAAACGCGTTGTGAGACACCGGAAAATATGGCGGAAACCATAGCTGCACGCAAGTTCTACGAATCAACACCGCATACTGCCGGACTGTACGCAGGCGCACAACCAAATACACCAACCACGTCGAAATTGTATGGGGATGAAGTGAATATATCGCCAATAGTGGCTGCAACGGAGCAAGTGAATGCCAATGCCACGCATGTCCTTAGTGGAACTTTCGGTGAAGAGCGTGATGTAAAAAAAGTGAATACGAAAACTTTTTCCGGCACACTACCGCGACTTGAGAGTATCGAGCAAATGCTAGATGATATTGAAAATCCGAATGAGACGTACGAGAAATCCGGTGCAAAAACACAAGTGCTACAACAAAGCGCCGCCGACATACAAATGCAGAATGTGTTGGAATTGGCGCATGCCGAAGAGGAGCTTTTGGCTAGCAATAACGATCAGGAATTCGAAGATATGCTGGAGGAGTTCAGCAAAGTGGAAGTGAATGCGGAGCATGTGAAAATGAAGAAATCCTTAGAGACAATAAAAAGACGCTTTCAACGCGACCCCACAACTTCAACAAAAGCGCCCACTTTACAACAGGCACATAGCACTGACGATGCCACGCATAAGCCAACAGAAATGCAGGCGATCGACGAATGCGAGCAACGGCGCAATGGTAGCTATATCAAGGCTGATGTAACTGCTAGCGTAATTAGTGATTGTACAGCGCCATCTGGCGTATCGTCACCCTCATCCGCATCAATATCCGCCTCTTCTGCAGCATCTTCATTGGCTACCAGTGGTATTGGTAATAGTAGCGGCGCAGGTGCACGTTTGCTTAGTCGACGCAGTCGTCTATATGATAATATAAATCTCTCAACGATTTCCGCCGGTAGCAGCAATACGCAATCGCCATCACGCTCACTGGGTGCCTCGTTCACAGTGCATAAACGCGATGATAGTGCACAAGAGAATTGCGCGATAGCTGACGCAACAGCAAAGCAAGAGACTGATTATAAAAATGAGCAAGAAGAAAATAATTTTGGCAAGACTGAAGGCGCAATTGAAAATAGCAACAACATTGCGACTACGAACTACAACGGTGTGGGTACATATAAACTCTCCGAACGGCGGGAGCGTGATCGTGATCGTTTCAAAACAATCAAAATCGTGAAAGCACGCAACGTGAATGAGGATTTAGTAGCAGTGAATGTGCCTTGTATTGATGATGATGACGTCTCGTTAACTGCCGACGGTGGTACGACAGTCTTCAACAATAATAAATCGGAAATCGAAAACGAGCAAAAGCTGAAGTCGTGCATGGATAGCCAAAGCACCGTTACGCGTCCAACGACTGCTTCAAAAATAAATCCGAATTTCCTAACCTACAAAAAGCCGAAAGACAAACCAACAAATGTGGCTAATTTGCCGGAGATAGTTAGCGCACCGTTACCGAGTGCAGCAGCTAACGGCAGCAGTGAGGAACTTGAAAATCAGCCAATACCACCTAGTCGATTACGTTCACGTTCGCGTCCGCGTTATATATCGGGTTTGCAAAAGATGACCGTCGTAAAAGCAACATCGGCTGGCGACTTGGATCGTGCCACAGCGCTTGGCATACGACCGCCTACTGCTAGCGTCAGCCATGCAGCGTTAGATACGACGCAGCACATCAATGCTACGATTGTGGCCGAGCCTACTAAATATAGTCGCAACGCGCAACCTTTAAAAACTACAACAACAGCTGAGGTGAAAAGTCCCATGGGCACAAAATCGAAATCCTTCCACAATTTATCAAGCAATTTTGGTTTTAATGGCGGCACTGGCTTACACGGGCCACGCACCAACAGTTTGGGTTTGAAGAAACCCACCGTTTACGAAGACGCTGGTGCTGCCAACGATGTAAGTATGATTAGTGTTATGTGTTGTAGTTTCGTTTTAATCATGCAAATATATATATATATTTTCTTATTTTCAGCGCATCGCGAATGGTCTGTCGTCGAACTCCATACCTCCACAACAGGTAATTGTTGCATATATATTTTTTTTCCATATACAAGCTAATAGCTAACTTGAAAAATCTATATGCACAGGCCGACGATGCTGTCTTCAAAGTTCCCAAATTGGTGTCCGGGCTACGTGCGCCTGGCGCCAAACGTGCCGGCTTAGTGCGTCCTTCCTCCGCTTACTACAGTCTCAACAGTCTGGCCGTTAAGGGTATGCCATCACTATCGCAACCGCCGTTAGTGAACGACACCGACTCGGATGGCGGCCGACATTCGCCCACCGATGTATGTTTTCATATACTACTACTTATTTGTTTTTATAGCCGAAAACGGTATATAAAGGTTTGACACGAAGTTTGTCTGTCTGTGGAAGCTTGAACTGGTCCCTAAGTTTTTGAGATATCGATCTGAAATTTTACACACGTTCTTTTCTGCTCAAGAAGCTGCTCATTTGTTGAAACCGCCGGTATGGGACCATTATAGAGTATAGCTGTCACACAAGCAAGGAAAACTTTTTTATTTTACACATTATCTTAACGAAACTCGGCATTGATTATTGTCCAAGACAACGCAGGCATATCTGAAAAAATTATTCAGATTGCACCACTGCAGCATATAGCTGTCCTAGAAACTGACCGATCCAACTCAAGTCCTTTATGGAAAACTTTTTTATTTGACAAGATATCTTCACGAAATTTGGCGTAGAGTATTAAAAAAGGTATTGCTTTAATTTCCGAAGGTATTGCCATACAAACTGACCGATCAAACTCAAGTTCTTGCAAGTTTTTTATTTGACAAGATATCTTCACAAAATTTTGCACCGATTTTTGTCCAAGGCAACGCTACAATCTCGAATGATACTGTAAAGATCTAGAAGCTCTATGACAACCTGAACGATCAAAATCAAGATAAAGTTCCTTTTATACGCCCTTTTTATACTCCTTTTATGATATAAGCTTCGTTACAATCGAAATTTATATTTTTTTCTTGTTCTTACTTTTTTTTAAAATATTTTTAAAATTATTTTATTTTTATTTTTTGAATTAATTTTTTTTAAAACTTTTTTTAAATATTTTTTAAATTATTTTATTATACTCTCGCAACCTGTTGCTACAGAGTATAATAGTTTTGTTCACCTAACGGGTGTTTGTATCACCTAAAACTAATCAAGTTAGATATAGGGTTATATATATATAAATGGTCAGGATGAAGAGACGAGTTGAAATCCGGGTGACTGTCTGTCCGTCCGTCCGTCTGTCCGTCCGTCCGTCCGTCCGTCTGTCCGTCCGTCCGTCCGTCCGTCTGTCCGTCCGTCCGTCCGTCCGTCTGTCCGTCCGTCCGTCTGTCCGTCCGTCCGTCTGTCCGTCCGTCTGTCCGTCCGTCCGTCCGTCTGTCCGTCCGTCCGTCCGTCTGTCCGTCCGTCCGTCCGTCTGTCCGTCCGTCCGTCCGTCCGTCCGTCTGTCCGTCCGTCCGTCCGTCCGTCT